CACAGTAGAAGAAATATCAGACCTCCCTTGACCTTTACTTACAGAAATGGTTTTTAGAGTTTCTGTTTTAAAGATTCACCCATTTAAGACGACTTGAAATTGTACCCAAAATTCTTACACAGCATTTTACTTTTCTTTTTTTTTGTAATGAAATAAGTGATAAAAGGTATTATTGTAGTTCCATGTTACATAGAATGTGTAATCGGTTCAATCAAATCTTTAAAAAGATCCAGTTATAGGGATAGTTCACCCAAAAATGAAAATTCTGACATTAATTGCTCACCCTCATTTCGTTCCAAACCTGTAATACCTTCTTTCATTTTTGGAACACAAATTAAGATATTTTTGATGAAATCCGTGGCTGTTTATTAGTAGCCTACTTATAAAGCACATATTCTACATGGCCATATTCTACATCCCTAATCCTACCCAATACCTAAACCTAATAAATACCTTACTAACTATTAATAAGCAGCAGATTAGGAGTTTTTAACGGCAAAAGTTGTAGTTAATGGTTTGTTAATAGCGAGAATTGGACCTTAAAATAAAGTGTGACCACCATATTTAAACTGCTCTACATTATATTTTACTATATAAGTGTTTATTTATGTTATGTGAATATATATTCATATTTAATCATTTGAAATATATTTTTCTCCTTTAATAATTTACTTGTGATGAGGCAAGTGGCACAGATGTCTGTCTTTATTGTATATACAATTGCTCTTTCCTCAAAAACGTTAAAAATGTTCCTTCTGGTACTGAGGTCCTGGAAGGCAGCAGCTGTGGGATGTTATGAGAATTCAATACAGTCTGTTCTCTCTCTCTGGGGGTTCTGATGGCACCTGTTCTTCATCATGTGCTCTGTACTCACTCAAGGGCAATGGCACCCTGAACACTTCACTTACTCATTTTGTGTGGGTTTGTTATGAAATGTATTGAAACTTGGCAAACCAAGTTGAGCTTCTGACTGTGAAGTTCTTGTCACAGTAGAAGAAATATCAGACCTCCCTTGACCTTTACTTACAGAAATGGTTTTTAGAGTTTCTGTTTTAAAGATTCACCCATTTAAGACGACTTGAAATTGTACCCAAAATTCTTACACAGCATTTTACTTTTCTTTTTTTTTGTAATGAAATAAGTGATAAAAGGTATTATTGTAGTTCCATGTTACATAGAATGTGTAATCGGTTCAATCAAATCTTTAAAAAGATCCAGTTATAGGGATAGTTCACCCAAAAATGAAAATTCTGACATTAATTGCTCACCCTCATTTCGTTCCAAACCTGTAATACCTTCTTTCATTTTTGGAACACAAATTAAGATATTTTTGATGAAATCCGAGAGCTTTCTGACCCTGCATAGACAGCAAGGGAACTACCACGGTCAAGGCCCTGAAAGGTAGTAAAGACATTGTTAAAATAGTCCATGTGACATCAGTGTTTCAACCTTAATTTTAAAAAGCTACGAGAATATTTTTTGTGTGCAAAGAAAACAAAAATAACGACTTCATTCAACAATTTTTTTCTCTTATATGCCAGTCTTCGATGTGCCGATCACATCTTAATTTGTGTTCTGAAGAGGAATGAAGGTCTTACGGATTTAGAACGACATGAGGGTGAGTAATTATTGACAGAATTTTCATTTCTGGGTGAACTCACCTTAAGACAACAATTGCAGCTCGAACATCATTAGTTTGAAACCTAAAGCTCAGAGTTGTGATGGATCTTCAGGTCTACATAGTAGCTGAAAATTGGCTGCTTAATATTTTTGTGAATGCTGAACGGGTGAACTTAAAATGTTATACTATTAATTGTTAATGCAGTAAAAATAAAACACTAAAAAGCGAAATAATTTTAGGCATTTAGGCAGCACAACATAGTAATTTACATTATGAAAAATGGATATAAAATTTGCTGTACGTATCCAGTCCACCCATAGAGGGCGATGAATCTCTTCCCATCCTCCATCTCTTACACAGGGAGAGAGAGCTTTGTGATAGGTTCCCACTGTTAGGCACGTTTCTTCTGCAGCGTCCCAGTGCTCAACCTCTCTTTCTCTCTCTGTCTGTCTCTCTCTCTCTCTCTCTCGGTCACTGCAGAGCGACACTCTCTGTTACAGCATCGTGCAGAGAGACAGCCTGTAGCACTGAACCCATCTAACACTGCTAGGAAACCTGCACATTGTGGCTGTAGAAAATAAAACACTAAAAAGCGAAATAATTTTAGGCATTTAGGCAGCACAACATAGTAATTTACATTATGAAAAATGGATATAAAATTTGCTGTACGTATCCAGTCCACCCATAGAGGGCGATGAATCTCTTCCCATCCTCCATCTCTTACACAGGGAGAGAGAGCTTTGTGATAGGTTCCCACTGTTAGGCACGTTTCTTCTGCAGCGTCCCAGTGCTCAACCTCTCTTTCTCTCTCTGTCTGTCTCTCTCTCTCTCTCTCTCGGTCACTGCAGAGCGACACTCTCTGTTACGGCAGTGTGCAGAGAGACAGTCTGTAGCACTGAACCTATCTAACACTGCTAGAAAACCTGCACACTGTGGCCGTAGACCTGTGGAGACCTGGACTGCACACACACACACACACACACACACACACACACACGCATGCAATCACAGACATGCTCAAATCATCGCCTGCAACATCTGGCTGAGCCGTGCAAGAGAAGTGCCGTTCCATTGCGCTCTGTGAGTCGACTTATGAATCGTGTGTGTGTGTGTGTGTGTGTGTGTGTGCTAGGGATTTGAACGAGGCTTTGGGGTCTGCAGTCTTGATTTATTTTCTCTCCAAGGAGCTGAGTGTGTGAGACTCATTAATTTGTGTGTCATTTGGCATTAATTTGCTGTTCTGTGACATTCAGACAGAACTGTGTGCCGATGATGTCTGTGTGATTTGATTGCAAACCAGAGGTTTTCTTTAACTGAGTGTGTGTGTGTGTGTGTGTGTAAATAGCATGATTGTCATGTCTGGTTAACCGGCATGTCTGAAGTAGGTTATTCTAGACGCATAGGGCTTGCTCTACATAGAGTTTTAAAATCCACCGGTGTGTGTATGAGTCCATGCATGATTCGATGGATGATGTATATGTTTAGTGTTTAGGGTGCATGTTTGAAGCATTAAAAAGCGGTTTCTGAAACCCACACGAGCATAGTTACTTAGTATGACGTCTTTTTCAGCACTATGCTTTTTGATGACATATGACTTTGCGCCAGTGATGTCTTGTGTTTCAAGCCAGACTGTGTGTTTAAATTATGGTTTAGGGAATAGTTTGCCCAAAAAAGAACATTCAGTGTTTAAAAGGAGAAATTTTGAGATATGTTCATGTTGTTTTTCCATACAATGAAAGTGGATGGGGACTGGAGATTTTGGGCTCTAAAAAGGTTACAAAAAACAAAAACTATAAAAGTAGTATGTATGAGTTGTATGTCTTATAAAAGCCATATGATAGCTTTGTGTAAGAAACAGACTGAAATTTAAGCTATTATTACCTGAAAATCTTTGATAGCCGTGGTTACCTTTCAAGTGGATGGTGACTGGAATTGTCAATGAAAGTGTATGGGGACAAGATATCAAGGATCAAAATGACAAAATGATCTATGATCATAAAAAATATGAAAATAGGATCACTTTGTGTGAGAAACAGGCCAAAATTCTCTGAAAAAGTCATTATTCTCTGAATTGTATGCTCCATCACCGATCTTAAATCTTAGGATGAACGTTCTTTGAAATTGACTTTTTTTTTGAAGAAGAAGAATTAGAAAATTTGGAAAAATGTGGTATATTCTCACTAGTCTTGAATTGAATTGAATTGAACTGAATGTGACACAAAGTTTGAATATACGCACTGTCAAATCTTACTCTTTTTTATTTTTCTTGTTGCTTTTTAAAAAAAAAAAGTGCTGTATGTTTTGACTAGTATATGCAAGCTCAAATGTTCATTTTTGGGTGACCTAGCTGTTTAATGATGTAAGTTTTAATGTGAAATGTACTAATTATTTTTTTTTAAATGTTTGTTGCAAAGAGGTAGAATTTTTTACAGTTTAATTTGGAGAAATGCTGGATGTTCTCACTAGTCTTGTAACCATTTCCAATGCACCTTTCAAATATTTATGTGAACTGGCCCTTTAAGGATTTAAGCTTTTCTATGATACCAACTTAATAAACTTAATAATACTTATTTATTATATATTATTATTCTTTTTTTTTTGTTATGATTTTCTAATTTTGAGAAATGCAGTTGATGTGTGTCAGTGGAGGATATTAACCTTTATTTTCCTTATGTCTATATATTTCATTTGCTTTTTCCATATACTCTCATGTCTCTCTCTCTCTTTCTGTTTTTTGCTTTACCCCCTCTCTCATTCTCACTCTCTATCCATCTGTCTGCTGATGAAGCACATTTTCTGAAGAGAACCCCCTCCCCATTTCATCACGGGATGTAATAATGACAACGTGTGTGTGTGTGTGTGTGTGTGTGTGTGTGTGTGTGTGTGTGTATTTATCACTGGGACGCCCCATGGGGATCCCTGCACTCTTATGTGTTCAGAAATAATTTCTGTGTACTAGGAAAAATATGATGGTCTGTGTGAATGAGTGGCGTTGTGTGCTTATATCGATGAGAAACAAGCTAAACAGGAAGGAAGGACCCTCTTAGGAGCTTGAAAAAGCTTTTTGACCACAGAACAAAGTGGAAACTATCACAGACATATTCTCGCAGCTCTTCAGGCAATCGCTTTGAGGTCAGGTTTTTGTATCGAGCGACTAAATCATGGTTTGCTGCAGTATTGTCAGGCCTTTTCCTCAGAAAATAGAATGGCTCCACACACATTCACGTAACGGAGTCCTTTATTACCACTGAAAAACTGCACACAAAGGCGTTTCTTCACAGAGTTTATTGTGAATGTGAAGTAAACGCCAAGCAGCCTGTTATCAGATGAGATTGTATCGCGGTGGAGGGTCATCTAACCGTCTGTATGTGTGTTACAGGAGGTGTTGTGGATAAAGATCTCAGGCAATATCTCAACCTGCGTTTCCAGAAGGGCTCTTTGGACCATGAGCTGCAACAAATAATTCGGGACAACCTTTATCTTCGTACAGTACCTTGTGAGTAACTCTTTACCCTGATTTCCTTAACCTTTGACACTGCTGCCCTCACTGACTTGGTCCTCTAGGCCAGGCCACTGACTTTTTATTGATTAAGTCCTGGCTGATGCTGTTCGATCACTGGAACAGGGCAGTAACACTTGATTTTATGCATATGAAATTGTTTCAAACCCTGCGACTATGCTAGGGTGGTTGAGAAAGCATTGATATGGTGTTGGTTGCGAGGCTGTTTGCTTTCTAGCAGTGTTAAGGTGCGGTCACCTTAGGGAAGTTTCTGCTAATTTTGCAGTGCAAAAAAAGGTTCATCATCAATAGCGTAACAATGTATGATGCACTGCTCACTTTTAAATCAAACAACTTTCTGTTGGTCAACGCTGCAAATTTTGAAGAGGTAAACTTGAAGCAGTTGCGAATGTGGGAAATAATTCAACCTTATGTAAAATTCCTGATCATGTGGATTCCTATTAAAATGATTGGATTTTGCATGTGAAAATTCCCATTCAGTAGTGGAAATTTTCCATTTAAAGGACAATTTCGCCCCTTGGAGTTTTACCTTTTTGTGTTTTTCTACCCATATAAAACATTTTTGTGTTTTATGATTTATGTCTATTTTGATGCAATTAATTAACAAATGCTCAATCTGAAATTATTTATTTTATTGTATTACTTCATATATATATATATATATATATATAACCCATCTGTGTGTGTGTGTGTGTGTGTGTGTCTGTGTGTGTGTGTGTGTGTGTGTGACCCTGGACCACAAAACCAGTCAATTTTTTGAAATTGGGAATTATACAGCATCTGAAAACTGAATAAATATGCCTTCCATTGATGTATGGTTTGTTAGGATAGGACAATATTTGGCCGAGATACAACGATATTTGAAAATCTGGAATCTAAATAAATCTAAATATTGAGAAAATCTCCTTTAAAGTTGTCCAAATGAAGTCCTTAGCAACGCATATTACTCACAAAAATTAAGTTTTGATATATTTACGGTAGGACATTTACAAAATATCTTCATGGAACATGATCTTTACTTAATATGCTCATGATTTTTGGCATAAAAGAAAAATCGATAATTTTGACCCATACAATGTAATGTTGGCTATTGCTACAAATATACCCTTGCGACTGGTTTTGTGGTCCAGGGTCACATATATATACAGTATTTATTTATTTATAAAATATTAACAGTATTTTATGCAATATTGTAAATAATTGCTTAAATTGGAGTATTATCAGAAATAATATATAGACTATATCAGATAGTACAAATGGAAAGTGCAGGGATTTATTTATTTGGTAACAATTTAGAATAAGGAACACATATTCACTATTAACTATGACTTTTCCCTCAATAAACTCCTAATTTGCTGCTTATTAATAGTTAGTAAGGTAGTTGTTACGTTTAGGTAGGGGGTACGATTAAAGGATCTAAAATATGGTCATGCAGAATAAGGCATTAATATGTGCTTTATAAGTACTAATAAACAGTCAGTATGCTAGTAATATGCATGCTAATAAGAAACTAGTTAATAGCGAGAATAGGTCCTTAAAGTAAAGTGTTACCATTTATTTTTGCATTGACATTTAGCCTTTTTTGGCCATTTTTTTTTTTTTTTCAGAATTCACCAAACTAAACCTTAGTACGCAGCAAAACACATGGAAGTGTATCAAACAAAAAGTCTAGTTTGTGGTTGAAAATTCCCTCAAAAAGATAAACACTTTGCTAGTCTTTATATTCGCTAGTCTTTATGAAGTGACGTTTGTATCTGTATACTTAGAGTTGTAGTCCAGAACCAAAGAGGGGTTTTGAAACATTTGAAGATATTATACACGGTATGCTCTGTCTTTGGACTGCACCGACGCTTGAAAGGATTTCTGTGAGGCTTTTGCTCAAGTGAAGCCCTTGTGTTATGTGTGAGAGCGAGCGAGTGAGAGAAAGAGAGAGAGAGTGATTACTGTCCAGCTGAGAGACTGAGCTGTGATTCCATTAGACCAGAGAGCGACACGTGAGATCTGTACCCGAGAGAAAGAGAGAGGTTTGGAGAATACAGATGAGAAAGAGAGGGCTGGACTGACAGAGATTACGATAAAAAAATGAGAATGAGGTGTGAGGCCCCTAGATAAAACGCCTCAAATGTCAGATTCATTGAACACTTGCAAGAGGAAAAAGAAACAAGGAAACTGATAGCTTGAAATAAGAAGAGTGAAATTGAGGTAGAGAAGAAGAAAGATTGGATAGTTTGAAAACCCATGCATACAAATTTAGTTTTATTCATATGTAATGGGACTGCTCTGTTCCAAAATCTAGTGAGCTGTCTACTTAGAAAACATTTTAAGAGCATCGTATATGCGCTCCTGACAAGAAGATTGTTCCAAAAGGTGACCAGCATGATGTTGCCTTCTAAGAAACTTTGTTTTGGGTAGTCATTGTCATTTGGCTTGTCAGAGACATTGATTTGTACTCTGTTAGTGTGTTATGAATTTTTATGTGTATTGTTAGATACAATGTAAAATTTAATGACAGCTAATAAGAGGTACACAACATCCCTTACGAAAATTAACCATGGTTTTATTATAGTAAAAGTGTAGTAACCAGGTTTTTTGCCGGATTGATTACCATTTGTATAACCACAGTTTTACCACAAATAGCATGGTTAAATTATGGTTAGTGTAGCAAAACCATGGTTAATTAGTGGTTACCATGGTTTAACTATAGTAACCATGTTTTTTTTTTGTTTTTTTTTTCATTTGTAGTAAACCCATGGTTAATTTTTGTAAGGGAGGTTTATATCAAACATTGTATCTTAGTTTTTGATTATTTCATTAAATTCACAAAAAAATGGAAAGAGAAATTGATTTTTAAGGAAAAGTTATCAGACCATTGGGTGTTCATGATTGTCATGTGGTTAGCACAGCAATATGCTAATGGTACACTTTATTCAAATTAGTTATGAGTACACTTCTTGTTTGATTCATACGAAGAGTACTGTTTTGTCTTCCACATTCTAGTAATTACAAAATGCCCAAATACAGACCAAAATTCATCTGTTTACTCTTATATTGTCAGGTTATTTTCTTAGCACAGTGCTAATGGAATCAATTGTTTGATAAGTGTGAGGAAGCGCTATTTTGTGTTGCTCATACCAATTATCTAAAAATGCCCAAATATCAACCAGTTATTTATAGTGTTACTATTTGATTCTCATGTTGCTAGCTTAGCAACATGCTAAAGTCACATTCTATTGGATTAAAGTGTAGGTCTTAGATTAGCACCATGCTAATGGAATCAATTGTTTGATAAACCTGAGAAGCGCTGTTTTGTCTGCTACACACTAATAATCACAAATGCCCAAATTTAGATTATTTGATCTGTTATCTTAGATTAGCACCATGCTAACATTACACTCTGTTGGAATCAGTTGTTTAAACATGAGGAGCTCTATTCTGTGTGGCACAAAATCTCAAAATGCCCAAATATTGCACCGGTTTTTGTTATGTTACTACATGTAAGTTTCTCATTTGTTAGTTTAGCAATATGCTAATGTTACACTGGATTTAACTGTGAGGTGAGGTGTTTGATTCACCAGATTAGCGCTATTTTGACTGGCATATTCTAATTGTTTTAAAATGCCCAAATATTGACAGATTTTTTATTATTTAGCAACTTAGCAACATGCTATTGTCAAACTATTTTAGAATGTACTGCATCTCTTTTGATTCTCACTATAATTTGTGCCGTGAGGAGTTGTTATATGTAGATTGTTCCAAATCAGTCACTTATAAGGTACATTATAAGAAATTGCACACCTACATTTTCTCATGAGATCAGGTTATCAATTTTGGTTTGGATCTTGACTTTAAATGCAGCTGCCAATGTTAGCAGTACACAGCCAGCAAGCTCACTATATTTTGGAGTTTACATTTCACAGAATATTATTACTGCGGAATTGAGTTTGTGTATGAGAAAAAAAAAAAAAAGAAAGACAGTCATTCCAGAGGAAGGTGAGGATGTGTCCCCGTTGCCGTCACATTATCAGTCACATGATTGGCTGCTTGCTGAGTAACGACAGTAATGCTCATAATCACAGAACTGTCTCATGAATTATGCAGCCGATCTATTACAGCTTAGGGTGCCATGACAGGTTACGCCTGCCACACACACACACACACACACACACACACAGAACTGCCTCATGAATTATGCAGCAGATCTATTACAGCTTAGGGTGCCATGACAGGTTACTCCTGCCACACACACACACACACAGGGGAGAGACAGGGTGACATTAGAAGTTGTTAGTGCTGACATTGAACCTCTCCAGAAATGAGATGTGAGACACTATTATAAATGGAGGACGCAGTGTCCTCTAATATCTAAGAAGAGACCCAGAGATACCGTCCTTTCTAAAAAGAAATGTCCATGCTGACCACTGTGCACATTGTCATTCTTCTGTTTCCATCTCTTTATTCACTCCTCACCATCTAAAATTTATCTAAAAATAAAAATTTTGATATTTACTCACCCTCATGTTGTTCCAAACCCTGAATTCTTTTGGAGAAAACAAAAGCAGATGTTTTGAATAATGTTCACGCTGCTCTTTTCCATACAATGAATGCATATAGTGACCAGGAACCGTCAAGTTCCAAAAAGGATTTTTTTTTTAAATGATACAAATGATGACAGACTTTTCTTTTTGGGAAATATTGGTGAATTCTTTTTAAGGGTGGTTTTGTCAGCGACAGGCTGTCTGTAGGTGTAGTCTGTAAATCCAGAATGTTTGAGGGAACATTTGAAGTCTCATAACAAGACTGAAGCAGGTCTCATTTTCACTTCAGAACACAGAAATGTGGATCAGGCTTTTTCTAAAGCACCTGCCACCGCGAACTGTCTGACACCTTTTTAGAGCAAAACCATATACCTGAAAAATTGAACAAGCTTGAATTGCCCCAGAGTTCTCATAACTCCCTCATTACAGCAAGACTTGAAC